CTGTTATTCTGATGCAGTCTCGTTAAGAACTAAAGCTATTTTACACACCTTTATAGATCAGTAGCATAAATAATATTCAGCTTGTAATTGTCTCTTTTCTTACAATATCTTCAATATTTTAAAGAGAGAGGGCAGTAAGGATGGAGCATATGTTTAGACTATTTTGTGTCCATTAGTTTAAATAACATACTTGAATATATCCATGCATAGATTGATGTCCAACACTGGCAAGCTACATAACAGAGGTGGGATTCAGCAGGTTCTGACCAGTTCCGGAGTACAGGTAGCAGAAATTTTGAGTAATTCAGAGAACCGGCAAATACCACCTCTGACTGGAGATTTTACAGTATCCTCCCCCTGCCACGCCCACCAAGCCACGCCCACAGAACTGGTAGTAAAAAAAAAATTGAATCCCACCATTGCTACATAAGGCTTCCGACTTGCATATGTTAACAAAAAATATCTGACGACAGAATCAGAATAAGGTTGGAATTCTTCTAGAAGGCTCTCTGTCTTCTTCCCAAAAGTTGTCTTGAGGACTATAGGATCTAACTGCCTGCTCAAACAAATCACATTTAGCAAAATAATGTCTGAATGTATATGTATATGTGTGTATGTATATATATACACACATACACACGTACGCGTGTGCACACACACACACATATTGAATTGCTATTGATTTACAAAGCTGACACACTATGAACCCAATAAAACCACTACAAAATCAGAAAGATCAAAATAAAACTAAAGTAAATAATACACAATACCAACAAAGTATTAAATCTGGTTTCAGTCACTCTCCAAAGGTTTTTGGGAAGAGTTCATTCTTCATTACTTTCTGGTAACCATCATCGGGGCGGGGGGAAGGGGGGGCGGCAACCTATCTTCCAGAATAAGTTTTTTTCAGAGTGTGGCTGCCATGATTGGAAAATGGTATTTTCTGGATTAGCCCCCTTCACCTCACAAAACTGGAAGATCACAAGCAGCTTCTCCAGGCATGTTCTCAGTCAGGCCTCAGCATTAGTTGAAATAAACATTAAGGTACTTTGGGGGCAGACCATGTAGGAACTTCTGGGTCAAAAGTAGCACTCTGAATTTTATCTGGCCAGAACTCAGTTACGGTTAATTCACTAAACAATTATTAAGTAAAGCAGAGGTTGGCAGCAAACTATGTTGCATAGTAGAGAGTTTTTCCCAAAAGTCTTTTGCTATGACTTCCTTCTTGATAGATGATTGCTCAAACTTTGCATGAAAATTTGTGAAAAGGGAATTTGCTACTTTCCTGAGCAAATCTGTACCTCTACTGAACAACTAAAACTATTGTGTTTTTAAATGTTATTTTGCTTGGAAGCACTAATCGGGTTCCTATATTCTGTGCAATAGTTTTATTTTATTGGTACACTAACAGATCTTCAAATAATCAGATTTCCTAGCTTAATATACTGAGCTCCTGAAAAAAGTCCTTACGCTACTTGTGGCTAGGCCCCACATCTTCTTTGGTTACTTCCTCTAGATATTTTCCACTTTGCTAAACTGTCCTTGAAGTAGAGACTCCATGAGAGCTTATAATATTGCAGATGAAAATTGATAGTAACCATGTGCATTAATTAACTGTAATCATTTTTCATTATTTAATATTAATTACACTGTCATTAAATCAAATCCCACATTCAGTTCCTGGAGTAGGATTTAACATGCTATCTAAATATGGACCATGGAATAAAAAAAGCTTTTGCATTCCTTAAAACAAAGAAACAACTTGTATTATAGCTGAATTCACTTCAATTTTTACTTAAGCATCATGTTTGCCACTGATACCGTCATTTACAAATCATAATCTATGACTGAATGCAATATTGAATCAGCTTTATATGCAAATCCCACAGCTATTGGTCTCAAAGCAAAAAGGGGAGAAGAATTATCTTTCTATTTCCAAGCCAATACCCACTTACTATAACAAATTACTTCCCTGTTTTGATCTCTTTCCTGAGGATATTAATAGGTGAGAATGGCTGGAACGATTAACATGCAAATGATCTTTTTGTATTCCTGCTCTGGGCTCAGACAGCAAAACATAAGTTGAATCACATTCATGCCTGCTCTCTTTGAGAATCAAACATCATTTTTATCCTAACCTCATCTGGTTTCTGAATTCTAATTCCATTCCTTGGATGCCAACTGGTAAAGATCTCTTGGGATATTTCAAATGTGACTTTTGTATGGGAAGGGAAAGCTATGCAGTTGACTGGCACCAAATCCACCAAAATCCTAAAGCGTAAAATGAGGTTCTTCTTATCTCTAAAAGGACTGATATGCAAATGATGATGTCTGTAGGATTACAAATTGGCAATTGTGCTGGAGGGGAATAAAATTTCCTTCACATTGTGCTTGATTCCTGTGGTGACACCATGGAAACATCCAGTGTCTCCTTGATAAGAAGACTCAAGGGAATTGCCACTGGCTTCTTCCAGGTAGAGAAATGAGGACCAAAAACCACCAGGTTTCAAAACTCAAAAGACTGAATTTCACAAATCACACACTTTTGGGCTTGTATCAAGTTTCTTACCACATCCTGTCTTTTATCCATTTCCTAGAAGTTTTTTGAAAGTGTTACATTTTGCATATTTTCTCAACCCATAATATCAGGTTCAAAGTCAGCTTTGTATCATCCGCAACATTTCCTCTATTTTCTGGTTTGGGCCTCACTGACTCCGCAGACATGAGTTTTGCTGGCACAGAAACCACAAGCACAACCACTCTTTATTGGCTGCTTTAAGCAACAGCCCCAAGGCTGTAGTTCTAACAATCCTTCCTTTTGATTTTGACTAAATTTACAGCCTTCCTGAAAAGTGATGAAGTCCAAACCCCTATTAAAATGATAGACAGCAAGATCTCCAGATTCACTGCTGGTTTACTACCTCTCTAGAAAACTGCATTCACATCTTCCTGTCAGGCACAAATAACCAGGTGCATTCGTGAAATTCAAAGCATGGAAGAGTTTATGAGTGCTACTTCTATACAAAAATCTAGTCATCTAACAGTCAAAATAGTCAAAACCTAAAGTGGTGCAAGACAAAGGTTAATGGAATTGAAATTCATAGGGAGCTGGACTTGGGTCTCTTTTGGCACCGCAATGACTCCAATTGCTGACACGTTTAACCCCACCTTCCAGCTCAACCTGCTCTTTTCCTTAGTTCCACTCTAGGAACTGGGAAACCAGATGAGATTCCAGTTGAGCAAAGCAGCACTCAATTTCGATTTCTCTGCCCCCTCCATCCTTCAAGCTCTTTGCAGCCTCTGTGTTAAATATGCTGCAGAGAGCACTCTTTATTGACTTTCGGCACTTCCCCTCTTCATTTCTATAGGATTTTTGCAGCAATGATGTTTCCTGGGGGGACACACAACTTCCATTATCTCCAGTGGCTTCCTTCAAGCCTTTTGCAGAGTAACAATGGAACTCAGCTGATGGCTGGATTCTTTTCCTCCCGCTGCACTATTTCTGCACATTTCCTCCTTTCCTCCTGCTGCACTACAGTATTAATGCAAGCACCCCACATATGCTCCTGCAGCCCTGACAGGAACTCAATAAGATAAATGCTTTCTTCCCGGTCCAGCCCCAGCTTTTGTCGACTGCCAACATCAACAACATTAACAGCATCTGCAGGAGGTGAATTGATTCCCTTCAGCAGCCAATCTAAGATGCAACTTGATGCCCAACCAGACTCCCGCAAGGCTCCTCCTAAGCCTTTACACATGCACACACCCATATCTGTAAGCAAATGGAAAAACTGAGCTAGCTGCATGACCAAAGCCTGAGCATGCTGGATTTAAGGGAAGGGCAAGGAGGTTATTCCCGCTGGTCCCATTCTGTGCAGTGGGAAGACAAAAAGCTCCTCATTTGGAGCTGCAGTAATTAATCACCATATACTACAGGTATGGCAGCTATTGTTAGCCAAAAGAAGGATGGGCCAAGGGCAGGCACTGATGCAGAAGGTTGGAAGGCGAAGGCCAGCTGTCCTGCTCCAAAGAGACCGTCATTAAGAGAGTAATGGAAGGTGGCCACACAGAATTTAGTTCTTCTTAATACTGTGTACACCCAGCCCTGGATCTGTGATGTTTTTAGGAACACAGAGAAACAACCCTTCAATATACTGCTTAAAAGTTCCTGGCTTTTCCCTTCTGGGCTCCCACCAAAATATACAGGAGGCACCTTCCATATTTCCAAGGGGTTTTCCTCTCTGACCTCTTAATGCTCCATTGGAGACCCTTCCTCCCCACAGGCCTGTTTGCCACAGACTTTGAGTCTAAGGAGACCCTCCAGGTACCTTCAGCACCTCATGCGGCAGCAAACTCATCCATTTCACAAATGGCATCTGCTTCGCCATTCTCTCTCTCTCTCTCTCTCTCTCTCACACACACACACACACACAGCATCCTCATTTCTGCTGAGGTTCTTCTTCAGAGAAAGGAGGGATGAGGAAGCAGCCCGGGTCTTCATCATAGGAGGATACAGCCCAAAAGGCTGCACTTCCCAGCAGCCCTCGAGTCTGGCACCAAGCCCCAAAACTCAAAACTGCTCGGTATGAAGGGCGGGGAGGAAGATCCACTCTGTTAGCAGCTTGAGGTATTTTTTACCTTGGGTGGGTCCTGGCAGATCTTAAAGCCTCCGCGTCCACCCACGCAATGTGCGTGACCCTCATTTTTCAAACCCTCTTCTTCCCACCGACCCTGCCTTGAATTTTCATTTAGCCAGTGTAATTAATTCCCTCCTACACTTATGCACCCTACACTTTGTACACGCTCAGAGACACGCTTCCCCCACGTGTTCCAAGCGGTGTGGAATTGGGTTAAAAAAAAAACCAAACCCAAAGCCGGGTTCCCGCCCACCTCCCCGTCCTTCCGCAGTCCAGGAGCCTCCAGTGCCTTCCCCCTCGCCCGTTTGGCCTGCCTGCGCCCCTGCATCGCTCCCACCGCCTTGGCTCGCTGGTCCAGCTCACCAGCTGCCTCCGCAGCAGCAGGATGTTCTCCTCCAGGAACTTCTCTTCTAAGCTGCGTGGCGGGATCCCGGCTCCTGCTGCGGCTCTCGCCGCTTCCCCGGAGCAGATCCCGGCCAGGGAAGCGGAGGGCGCGACGGCCAGTAACCGCTTGACGCGCAGCTCTTGGCGCTGGCGCAGGAATTCCAATTCGGCCAGCCCGGCGAGTGTGGCCTCCAGCCGCTCCCGGGTGCGCAGCCGCTCCGCCTCCGTCGCCTCGCTCCTGCCGCCGTCTCTTGCCCAGCGCGGATCGGGCTCTTTACCCGCCGCAGCTGCAGCCACCTGGCCCGGCTGCTGCTGCTGCTGCTCCGGCTGCTGCTGCTTCCCTGGCTCCGGACTCGCCTTCATACCCGAGCCCTGCTCAGCGCAGGCAGAATCCTGCACGGAGGGCACTGCGGGGCACCGAACCTCCGAGCCTCAGCGGCGCGCGGAGGACGGCGAGCCCAGCCGCTCTGGAACCGTGCGGCGCCTGCAGCCTCCTGGCAGCAGCATCCCCGATGCCCCGCCCGCAGCCTGCGACGTCTTCGTCCTTACTGCTGCTGCTGCTGCTGCTGCTGCTGCTGCTCCCGCTTCCCCTCCGCCTGGCTCTCTATCCCTCGGCGTCCTTCTTCCAATCCCCCTATTCCCTCCCCGGCTCCTCCCCCCCCTCTCTCTCTTGGCTCTTCTGCATTTCCTCGCCCCCTCCGTCTTCTCCGCCTCTCAGGCTCGCCGTGCAGAGGCGGCCCCCGGAGTAGCTCTCGTTAGGATCGCGTGCATCTGTCCGCCCGCTTCAAAGAGCCGTTTGGCCGCCCCGTGTCTCCGTCCTTGATGGACTTTTCTCTTTACCTGGTGGGATTTTACCTCAGATATTTCAGAAACACACATTCCTCCTTTCAAAGAAGGACTAGTGAGGCTCAGAATCCCAATTCCTAGTTAGTCTCCTCTGTGCCTGTATGAAATGAAGTCTTTCTTTCTCTTTCCTTCCTTCTTTCGTTTCTTTCTTTTCTTCTTTCTGCCTTTCTGCTTGTCCACCTTTCTTCTTTCTTTCTTTTTCTTTTCCTCTTTCTGCCTTTCTGCTTTTCCACCTTCTTTCTTTCTCCCTTTCTGCCTTCAATTCATCTGTATGCATTTCCCCCACATGCATTGCTTTATTTACTCTGAATCTCTTCTATGTTTCTTTTTATTCCTCACTCACTCAAAGGATTTCTAAAATATCCTTTTAAAGTTTTTAGGGTTTTAAAAAAATTGTCTTCAATTGATTTTATAGGCCATTATGTGGTTGAGGAGTGTGATGATTAATTCAGATCAATGCCACAGTGTTCAAGACAATAGTGAACACTCCCTTGTTATCTGATGAGGAAAAAAATAGAAGGCCAGGAGAGAAGGAAACCTGATTGTCAAAAGTCTTTGTCATCTCTGATTTTATGGAAGTCCAAGCATGTAAAATCTGTTGGATCATTTGGTCATTTGATAGGGAGCAGATTGGGAGCTACAAATGGAAGAGAAGGAAGTAGCAGCTTTTGAACTATTAGTAAGTGGTAGATAGCTCAACAAGGTCAACTAGGGTTAGTATGGGGATGGGAGATCAGCCAGGAGTGGGAGGGAAGAAACAATGACAGACCATTTCCTTATCTACATGTCTCTGTCCATCAAAATCTCTAGGACTGACATCAAGACAACCTGATTTTTGTTGGTCTTGTTACTACCGAAGACTTTGACAGAAGAACCAAGCATTCAGAAAGTGGCCGGTCTCCTTCATTGATAGCATGGAGTTCACATGAAGGTTAAATAGCCATCTTTCAAGGATGTTTTAATTTGGATGTCAGTGTTAAACAAAGATGGGAATTAATGGTCTCTTTCCAACTCTCAGATTGTGTGCCCCTAATCCAATTTCTTGTGTTCCACAATGGAAGAAGCACAAGTTTTATGGAAACTCACAAGAATAGTTCAAATAGATTGCCCCTTATTATTACTTTGCTATTCTTCCTTATTAGTAAGATGGTATTCGGTAACAACTGGAATTCATAACTCCCCGGTCTCCATCAGAAGCTCCCATTTCATTGTCATGAATCTGACATGATCTTTATTTATTTATCAGACATTTTGATATGGCCACTCACATCCATATATTTATATGAAACAGAATTATGGCTACACTTATATGTCACCTATGTAGCTTATTCACTCTTGCCAGTGAACAGTGGAAGTTCCTTTTATGATATGTTTAGTCTGATAATGTGATCTAAGATCCCAGGCTGCATTTTTCCAAGTAAGTATGTATGCACAGGAAAAAAACAAAATGCAGTCTGATGAATAAAATATAATAACAGTAAACCAATACAATACCTTTTAAAGAGCAAACAAATGTGCTGGTCCATGATCATAATAAATATTGAATTGAATCGAAGAGCAGGTAAATAAGACCAATTAGCTGTGACATAAAATGTATGTAAAAATTGGGGGAATTCTATGGTTTTGGGGAATTGAATGAACTTGCTGACAAAAAAGGACATTAAAATCAATGTCAGACAAAGTACTTCCCAACAGGGGATGTCACCACCAAATGCTTGCTCTTCTTAGAGTCATTAGATTGAAATAGCATTAATGTCACAGGAGACAAGCATATATACATAACACATTTATGGGGGAGGGAAGGAAGGAGAGGAGGGAGGGTGGGAAGGAGAAGGCAGGAAAGAAAAGGGAGAGAAGAAGGAAGGGAAGGAGGGAGGGAGGGAAAAGGCAGGAAAGAAAAGGGAGGGAAGAAGGAAGGGAAGGAGGGAGGGAGGGAAAAGGCAGTGAAGAAAAGGAAAAAAGGGAGGGAGAAAAAAATGTATATGCGTATTTTAATCAAGCATATAAGTTGCAAATTGCAGTTTGTCTCAGTGATTAGGTAATTAGTTACAGTATATCTTAATGAAGAACTGTATAATAGGAACTCCCATTCCCAGTAGCCCTTGAAATGAGGCTGAGGGATGGCAGAGGCCTCCTTCAGTAATTTAGTATTTTAGTATTTATTTGATTTGTCAATCGCTTACAAGATACAGGTACAAGAATAAATATAGTTTTGAATACATGAGATAGATACTTATAACAAAAATAAAAAAAAACAATAAGACAGGGACGGTAGGCACGATTGGTGCGCTTATGTTTGCGACTCTGGGACTCCACACTCTGACGCGAAGGCTGTGCCATTTTTATAGCCAGTTGCCGGTGCAATGCTGGGGAAAGTGGCTTCCCAGGGGAGAAGGGACAAGTGGGCTGAGGAGATGAAGGAGAGTGGAGAAAGAAGAGTCCTTTGAACACAGGGCTGTCCCAAATTGCAAAGGATTGCGATCAAAGCTGCAATGTGGCAGCTGTTTTAAAAACAACCCAAATCAATCTGGCAAGGTTATTGCAATGAAACAAATGTTACAGGCTTTGTACACTAATTAGAGGCTGTGGCTTTTTCTCTTTCTTTTTTTAAACAACGGTGATTTTTCTCCTCCCCTCCCTCCAAAGAAGGAATAGCAGATGGAGGGGATATAAGGGAATATTGGAAACTAAGATAACTATGTTTGGTTTTGAATTTGGGACAATGTATGATGGGAGAGGAAGACCCTTCCACAGACATGGGAGTGAGAAGGACGTGGTCCATGATTTCATCCCTCTTTGTCTATGTCGCTGCCTAGGAATGGATCAAAGAAACAGAAAGTCAAGATGAGGATGCTAGATTGAATAGGGATCAGCTAAAAAGATCACCAAGGAAGCACAGACTTTCTAACTTGAAGTTTGATGAGTTTTTGAAACTGTAGTTTGTTGTTAGGAAAGACAACACTATAGCAGTGGCAGTCATCGTCTCAATCCTGCCTGGGATCACACAAATGCAGGTAGTCCTCGACTTACAACAGTTCACTTAGTGGCCAATCGAAGTTATAATAGCACCGCAACCTTCTGACAGAGTCAATGGGGAAACCAGATTCACTTAACAACCGTGTTACTAATTTAACAACTGCACTGATTCACTTAACAAGTGTGGCAAGAGAAGTCGTAAAATGGGGCAAAACTCACTCAACAAATTTCTCACTTAGCAACATACATTTTGGACTCAACTGTGGTCATAAGTTGAGGACCACCTGTACTTTTAAGCTAGCTATGCAAGTTTTAGGCTAATGGGTGATGCAAAGTCAAACCCACATCCTTCTTTTATAATTTGGTGTATTGTATGTGTTATGTGAACACGTTTGCCAAAAATGCCAGCCTTGCTGCCTTTTTTCTTGTATTTCTGAAAATATTTGCAGTCTTCTTTTAACTTAATCCTTTCATTTGTCTATTTGCAACTACAGCAAATACCTAATAGATTATAATTGTTATTCAAGTCTGGCTGAGACTTTGCAAATGGATAGATAGTTGATGGATAGTTTAATAACAGATCTCTGCCCTTTGGCTCAATATCTGAAGTTATCTCACTGCGGGCTCTATTTTAAACAGACAGCATTTTTAAAAAACATTGGTTCATTAAGTGCAAACTCAAAAATATACTTGTGTCCCTCATCACAATCCTTTCTACTCTTAAAAGTTCTTTTTTCTGTTAACCCCACATGGCGAGGGGGCTGGAAGAGAAAAGAAATGTTAAGATTAGTAAACTCTCCTCCATCCCTTTTCTTTGTTATGATCAGCATGGATATCTTTCAAAATCAAGTAATGCCTATCATTACATCTGGATGTAGAAAACGGTTGGAAAAAAAGTTTGGATAGTTTGGAGCTGTTGGTCCCATCACTGATCCTCAGGTGCTCAGGGGTCTTTCTCCAGGGGTGGGATTCAAAAAAGTTTACAACCGGTTCTGTGGGCATGGTGTGGCTTGGTGGGTGTGGCAGGGGAAGGATACTGCAAATCTCCATTTCCACCCCACTCCTGGGGGAAGGTTACTGCAAAATCCCATTCCTTCCCCATCCCACTAACCTGCTTTCCAGCTCCGTTCTCCTGTGCAGGGCAACAAAAGAAGACCCAGCCAATCATCTGGGGCTCGGGAGGCAGATAATAGATGGGGGCGGGGTCAGTTAGAGGTGGTATTTGCTGGTTCTCTGAACTACTCAAAATTTCCACTACTGGTTCTCCAGAACTGGCCAGAACCTGTTGAGTTCCACCTCTGTCTTTCTCCCTGTTGGATTCTTCGGATTTTCAAGACTTGGGTGTAAGGTTCTGCAAGAACTTGAGAAGGATTTGGGGAGCTATGCTTCTAATACTAGAACTTTGCCTTTTGATCAGTGGTTCTGGAATATCTATGCTGTACCTATCAACTACCTGGATCACCCAGTCTCGAAAACACAGTTTTTAAAAGTCTGCCTTTTTAAAAAAAATATTCCGGTCATTTTTAAGCACAAACTTCAGT